GGGCCGGCGTCCGGCGGCGGACCTCTGCCGTCACACCGGGGTCACGGGGGGACGCCGCTGTACCGAGTCACGGGGAGGGGGCCGGCGCCCCGCGGCGGACCTCTGCCGCCACACCGGGGTCACGGGGGGACGTCGCTGTACCGGGTCACGGGGAGGGGGCCGGCGCCCGGCGGCGGACCTCTGCCGCCACACCGGGGTCACGGGGGGACGCCACTGTACCGGGTCACGGGGAGGGGGCCGGCGTCCGGCGGCGGACCTCTGCCGTCACACCGGGGTCACGGGGGGACGCCGCTGTACCGAGTCACGGGGAGGGGGCCGGCGTCCGGCGGCGGACCTCTGCCGTCATACCGGGGTCACGGGGGGACGCCACACTGGTGCCGACGAAGGTAACAGCAGGTTGTCGCGCCTTCCTGATTATGATAAAGGTCACAGTATGGTACTCAGCTGGCAGGACTGAAAGGCGGTCGAGCGGAACATGAGACATGGTCAGTGGAATTTTGAATGACGTAACCCGCGTGGTTTACGTCTTCACATCGGCCCTAAGCCGTCCATCTCATACCTCCGCTACCGTTCAGGTGACTGCCCAGTAACGCCGCGAGAAACCGGACCACCTTGGCGTCCAGTTTCTCCAGTCCTCTCCTCGCGGATGGCCCAGTTTCTCTCCGGTCGTCCGGACCACGCCCGGCGCGCGCGGACAACCCATTGGCGACCGGCGCACGCCCCCTCCAGGGCAGAAGACCCAGCGTTCCGCTGAGCCGTCCGACGTCGCCCGCGCCTCCGTGGCAGACAGTCCAGCCCCTCTCAGAGACCGGTCTCGCTAGTCAAGGCGCTGTTACCCCCGCACCTCTCGCAGGGGGAGCCCACACCGATCACTGCTCGACCTCTCCAGACTCGCGCCGGCGCGCGGCTGTTGGACGGCCGGCGGCGGCTCACACGCCGGCTGGGGAAGGCGCAGGGGGGGGGGGGGGGGGGGGCACGCGGAGCCGGTTCACGGGACCGTGCAGCGGCACGCGGTAGTGCAGCCGGACAGGCCGGCCGCGGTGCAATGGCCGCACCGATAGCCGAATACGGCGCCGGTTCCGGCCGCTGCCGTGGCCGGCCTGTCCGGCTTATGGCGCATGGCACGCGGTCAGCTCCGGCGGCTTCGTAGAGCGTCCGACCGAGCAGGATCGGACGACCCCCAGAGGTCACGCCGGCTGCAGGAAGACGCGGCGGCGCACCCAGCTACGTGCAAAGCGGCGGCAGCCCGCTCCAACAGCGCCGCTCGGTATTTGCCCACCTGTTCAACGGAGTGATCCGACGGCTGGATTTTTTGGGTGACTAGAAAGGGGTTCCCACAACACACCGGGGCAAGGGACACGGGCAGCAGGCACACAAACAACCGACCCTTCACATTTCACTTACACCCGACTAAAAGAACTACCTCTCCAGAGAGGGGACGAAGTCACGAATTTACATGGAAAGGAGCCATTTCTTAGGACCGAGGCCCAGACCCGCTGACGGGAACTACGCACTTCGAACAGAATGCAGATACCCAAACGCTAGTTGGTGCAGTACTAAGCGGGCTTATGGGCTACTGATCCTAGTTTGCCCTGACGATAAAAAAAAAATTATCAAAGCTGCTTACCGCATATTTCCAGTGGGCTATGCACAGCCATTGCCGCTAGATTACTGCTGTTGGGGCGTGACACGTCAGTGCCCATGACAGTCATTGAAATGTAGAGCCAACATAATATTCCTGGCCACCAGACAGTGTAATCATATTTAATAGTATTCCGGTAAATAACTGGGCGCCATCGTGACGGGGGAGGGCCAAGGCCCCACGAGCCTTCCCCTTGGCTGCGCTGCTGGTCGAGGGACTGAATCTGTCATGGGTTTTGGACTAAGCGATGGCTCGATTTGTCATCACTGAAACCAGGCGGCGGCCACCACCCTGCACGCAGTCCTAGTTCCTATAGTGAGGTCATCACATTCACGTCATCCAGGTCAGCGGGTGAGACATCGTTGAATTGCCCCGCGTGTAAAGCCGCTGGCCGAACGGCGGGGTGACCCGTTCGCGGCCCGTCCGCCGCGCTCGCCCGCGCCGTGCACCAATCAGAGCGAAGCACAGACGCCGCGGCGCGTCAAACGGGCGCGCGAACCGAGCGACCGGGCCTTTACGGGCGCGCGCGGCGGCGTGTCCTCCGCGTTCGCTGACCCGGCCCGTGGCGGCGCGCGGCTCACGCCTGGCACGGCCCTGAGATCTGGTGTCTCCGACTGTCCGAGTCCACAGTGGAGCGGCGGCACGCCCAGCTTCGGGCAGGGGATCCCGGGAAGGGTGCGGTCACGCCGCCGTCTCAGGAAGGACAATTTAACCGCGTGACGTCACGGAATGACCGAGAGACCGGAAATATTTCGCCTGAGAGTGTGCAGCACCAGCGTGGCTCAGCCGGAGCCGAGGCTGTGCGCACCGGCTCACAGCATCAGCGTGGCTCAGCCGGAGCCGAGGCAGTGCGCACCGGCTCACAGCATCAGCGTGGCTCAGCCGGAGCCGAGGCTGTGCGCGCCGGCTCAGAGCATCAGCGTGGCTCAGCTGGAGCCGAGGCTGTGCGCACCGGCTCACAGCACCAGCGTGGCTCAGCCGGAGCCGATGCAATGCGCACCGGTTAACAGCGCCAGCCTAGCTCGGCCAGAGCCGAGGCAGTGCGCACCGGCTCCTGGCGCCGCTCCCGTCACGCGGACGACTCAGGTCAGCCGGCGCCGCCGTGTGTGGGGCTGACCTAGTTCAGGTGAGCCCCGTCGCCGCCGCCGGTCCGAGGCCGCCCGCCCCCTCCGCGCCCCTCCCCCCCTCGCCGCGGCCGCGTGAGTGTCAGGTGCGGCGGCCCGCATGGGTCCGTCTAGTGCCGGCCGCCACAACCGGATCGATCCACGCCCCGGCCGCCGGCCCCGAGACTGACGTCACGACCTTTCACCGGCCGGCCGCGGCGCGACCACGTGGGCCGGCCACCATATGGCGGCGACCCACGCCGGCCGACCGGCCAGCACGCCGGCGTGCGGCGCGTGCAGGCCGACGTGCTCCAGTTCCCACGCCCCCTGACGAGTACGGCAGACCGGCAGCGGCACAGACGCGCGACCGGCTACCGACGTCGGTCGAGCGTATTGGAACACAGCACCGCTCTAGAGACGGCCCCCATGGTGCAGCACCTACGGCCCTGGCTAACGACACAGGAAAGTACCACCCCCCCCCCCCCCCAAAAAAAAAATCCTTAGCAGAGCACCAGCAACGACAGCCGATCAACAACGCCGGAGTAAAGCTAACCCTCAGGCGGACCGCGCCGACCCGCGGGCGGCGCCTTGCGGCCGCCGCCTGCGGTGTATTCGGCGTGCTCGGGTTGGGGCCCAGGCTCTCTGGCAGCGGTGGAAAGCCGATTACCTGTACCGGAGTGAAGTCAAAGGCCTCCCACGGAGAACAGAAAACATGCCCGCATTGCGCAACGCCGCTGTGCTGTCGGGAAAGTCTGGCCTGCCCAACGCCTGAGCTGGCCGGCAGAACAACCGAGCTCAGATGCGCTATTCGAAGATGCAAGTGGAAGGTGCCATCCTTCAAAGGCGAATGAAAAAAGAATGTTTACCTGCTTCGTACAACTGAGGTGCTTCCGAATTTCATGCAAACCCACGTGCTGTCAATGACAAATAGCCCACCACAAAACATGACACTGCGTAGTCTGGCGTACCTATGTCAAACTAGCATTCCCGGAACTTGAATGCACCACGTGGCTACCGGCTAATCGCAGCGTATCTCATCTTGTCCTGGTAAACAAGAGCCCAAGATGCCAAGCTGTGCGAGCCCGGTCCGGTGTGGCGATGGCGGGGCCGGCCCCCATCCCGGTATGGCGGTGTCCCCATCCCGATGTGGCGGTGACCCCCGCCCGGTGTGGCGGAGACGAGACCGACCCCCGACCTAGTGTGGCGGTGACGACGCCGACCCCCGGCCCGGTGTGGCGGTGACGAGACCGATCCCCGGCCCGGTGTGGCGGTGCCGAGACCGACCCCGGCCCGGTGTGGCGGTGACGAGACCGACCCCCATCCCGGTGTGGCGGTGACGAGACCGACCCCGGCCCGGTGTGGCGGCGACGAGACCGACCCCCGGCCCGGTGTGGCGGCGACGAGACCGACCCCCCGGCCCGGTGTGGCGGTGATGAGACCGACACCCGGCCCGGTGTGGCGGTGACGAGACCGACCCCCCGGCCCGGTGTGGCGGTGACGAGACCGAGCCCCCGGCCCGGTGTGGCGGTGACGAGACCGACCCCGGCCCAGTGTGGCGGTGACGAGACCGACCCCCCGGCCCGGTGTGGCGGTGACGAGACCGACCCCCGGCCCGGTGTGGCGGCGACGAGACCGACCTCCCGGCCCGGTGTGGCGGTGATGAGACCGACACCCGGCCCGGTGTGGCGGTGACGAGACCGACCCCCGGCCGGTGTGGCGGTGACGACACCGACCCCCGGCCCGGTGTGGCGGTGACGACACCGACCCCCGCCCAGTGTGGCGGTGACGAGACCGACCCCCGGCCCGGTGTGGCGGCGACGAGACCGACCCCCCGGCCCGGTGTGGCGGTGACGACACCGACCCCCGTCCCGGTGTGGCAGTGACGAGACCGAGCCCCCGGCCCGGTGTGGCGGTGACGAGACCGATCCCCCGCTCCGTGTGGCGGTGACGAGACCGACCCCCCGGCCCGGTATGACGGTGACGACACCGACCCCGGCCCAGTGTGGCGGTGACGAGACCGACCCCGGCCCAGTGTGGCGGTGACGAGACCGACCCCCGGCCCGGTGTGGCGGTGACGAGACCGATCCCTGGCCCGGTGTGGCGGTGACGAGACCGACCCTCATCCCGACGTGGCGGTGACGAGACTGACCCCCGGCCCGGTGTGGCGGCGTCCCCGGCCCGACGTGGCGGTGACCCCGACGCTGTGTGGTGGGGATGAGACCAACCCAGTGTGGAGGTAACCTAAGGGGACCTACTTGTGCAGACGGTGGCCACACGCTCGGTGGTGGAGTCAGGTGATGGCGGCTCCACTTTGATCAGGTCCAGTGGGCTGATGGCTCGCTCCGGCTCCGATGTGTCCGTCCCACCTGCAGCACGCGGCGGGCACGCAGCTCACATCGGCACCATAACGCAGAGGGTAGCGACGCCAGGCGTCAGGACCAGGCGGCACCATAAAACAGAGGGTAACGACGCCAGGTGCCAGGACCAGGCAGCACCATAAAACAGAGGGCAGCGACGCCAGGCGTCAGGACCAGATGGCACCATAACGCAGAGGGCAGCAACACCAGGCATCAGGACCAGGCATCAGCAGTTGGACATTCAACGCTGCAGACTTTGACCGCACTACATGACAGTGAGACATGATGCAGGGCTATGGTATTAAACTGCATCACCAGGCACGCAAGCATTGTACACTAGACCCCATGGTAAGACACCTTCAGCATCGCACCAGTTCGGACACTGGCACCCGTCTGCATGCCACCAAACACCTCAGATGCCACATCCCAAGCAAGTACTCACTGAGGTCATCATCATTGCCGGCAGGGGACATCATCTGGTCAGAGCCAGTGTCAGTGTTGGAAAGGCCGCTGTCTGAGAGGGGCGATGGTGACAGCAGGCCTTCCTCACTGACACTGTTGCCAAACTCTTGCAGGAAGGAGTCCAGGTTGTCAAACATGCTGAAGTCATTTCCTTGGGCATGGTCAAACAGGGCATCCTGAAATGGTTTCCTATTGTCAGGATTAATGACAATTCATATCAATTGGGGTAATATATTCCTATATTACTGGATGAGATGAACACATCATTGAGACTTCAGGTATCAAGATATGATTTTAGCTACTATCATTACAGTAATAAAACATTTAGTGGTGTTTATTAATGATAAACTTAGCTGTCACAACCAGATGACCAATGCAGGGGCAAGTACTGAAGGTGAATCAAACAAGCATAATAAAAGAGCCAAGACTGACAGCAAGATACAAAACCTAGCTGACTGGACACATCCCATCCAAGCATTTCAATGTAATCAAGGTAATAAGCAATGGTATACTGGGCCTTACTAACATGATCAATATAGCACAATCATCAGCATGACACAGTTATCAACCTGACATAGTATAAAACTTAACATAATCAATATATAATAATTCTCAGCATGACACAATTATCAACCTGATATAGCATTCAAGTTATCATTCAAAGCCTACTTAATATGTTTTTCATGATGTGCAGTCATGTAAGAAACTGCATCATACACAACACTTGTCTTGCCCTGTAACCTCTTATTTATTTCCAGATCATAGTCAGCATTTTATCTGAAGGTTATCTTAACCTGCATTTCAGTTAATGCTGATATGCTTTAAAATTTGGGTTGAGGAATATACAAGCCTCAACTTGGCATATCCTTGACAGACACCCACCTTTGATGGTTCACTGAGCTTCTCTTGCTTTTCAAATATGACATCAGGGAAGCTTTCCAGGTCCAGGTCCAGACTGAGATCATCTTTTGACTTCTTGTCAATGGTTATGTCTGGCAGAAATGGCCCAGGGCTAACTGGGAAGAAATCCATTGTAGGCCTCCGGGCGGGGTGCTCTTGGTTCCAAGCAGAGTTCTAAAGTTCAAGCACGCTGGTGTTTTCTACAATCCGGCCTTGCCACCTTCCCTTGCCTGCACAAGAAACACAACACGGCACGGTCAGCGTAGCTCCACCACGTCACAATCGGCGACAACCCGCCCCCCGACCTCACTACGCAGACCACGCAACAATAATACAGGCGAGACGAGCGGCCAACTCCTATCGGGGTATTCCGAACTGACGTCACGCCCAGCCCCTGCCCGCGGGCAAACCGGTGCCTTTACGCCTGCCCCAGCCATTCTGATGCAACTACAGTAAACCAGGCCCGTTCGGGACACTGATATTGGGTCAAAAAGTTGGCTCCTAGATACACAAATCTCTGCAATCCATGACGAAGTTGAAATACAAGATAAATCCATATTTTACACCCACCATTTACAGCTGTCGACGTGGCCGCAGCCTCCGTGGCTGCTGGCGCTGTGCCAAAAGAATGCCAGGTCGTGAATTGCTTTAGTATCTAAAGTTTAGCTGTTCGAAGACATCTAGCGATATGACAGCTATACTATGTGCTGAATAAAAACAGGTACGTTAATATTCTTTTTTACATAAAGGAAAGCAAAGAATTGAAGTTTTTGTTCGAAACGGGTTCATAAAAACCAACTTTCAATCAGATCTTCAGAAAAAATCATTTAAGTTCTATACTCATTATAATATATTCCTTATGGCCTACTAGGCCTCCTTTTGGATATGCCATCTCTTGCTCACAAAAATAACGCTTTGAAGACGTTTACTTGCGCATGCGGCGAATGATGAAAGCAATTCTCATTCTTTATCAGCGTGTTCGCTGTGACCAAGGGTTCAAGGTTGGGACTACCTTAGTCGAATGTGCGCATAGGTAAACGGGTGTTGGTTATGGTCGATCCGTGTCGAATTCTGTGCTTTTTGTGAATTTTTATGTTCGATATTATTCGTTAGTTTTCTTAGGTGAAACCCAAATGTCTTAGTTGAAAGGGGATTTCTCGAGAGTCGGTTTTCAACTTTCTAAAATGTCTTGCCACGTCATCTTTCCTGATGCAGATTTTTGCGGGGATTCCAGGCCTGCATTCAATCCTGAAAAATCTGTGGGGAACCACTTATGTGAGTTGTTGGAGCTATTATGCCCCTCTTGTTTTGTAATGTTGTTTTCAGATATGTACAAGGACAGGTTTTGTACATATATGAACAGGCCATTGGCAAAACACCTTAGATGTGGTGTGTATATAGGTATAATGTGATGTCAGTTTGTCATGCGTACCAATCTAGTATTAATTGTAGGGCATGAGGTGCAATGCTGTATCTAGGTTTAACTCGAAGTCTTGATTGTGGGTGGGCTTGTCAGCCAGACTGCAAAAATCCACACTGTGCTGATCATAGACAATGAAGTAGCAATGTTTTGGCAGCATTTTCAGTGCACATGTATCTTACATCTGAATGCTCAGAGCTTGGTGCATGATCAGCACAAAGTTTTGTGCACATGTGGCCAAGGTCTAGCAATTTAGATGATACAAAGGTTATTTCAGGTCAAAATAATGCCCAATTTTTTCCCAAAATAATGATTTTGGCATTCAGCAGTTTGGCCTGGCCTGGGTATGATGAGCATAAGCTTCAGTACAGAAATGTTGTGCAGGCATCCAGGGCTGTGAAGGGATCTTCGTGACCGACTAGATGGTGTGCATTATGCTCTTCTTCTTGGTCTAAAAATCAAAGCTATGTAGAGAATTAGGGCTCCAGAAAATATCAAGGTAAGTGGGGGTTATCACTGTGGTCCAGTAGTGAAATATTTGACTTTTGAAGCCATGTGGAAACAGCTTGTGGAGTATATCTCTGATGACCAAGTGATGAAGAGAAGTGAGTGAGGCTTAAAGGGATTGACATGTAATGATATAACATCATAATTCTACCTTTTTTTTGCTCTTAAGATATGGTGGTCTGCTGTACCTAAGTACTAATGGCATTATAGTTCTACCCTGTTTTTGCTCTTAAGATATGACAGTCTGCTGTACCTAAGTGTTAATGGCATTATAATTCTACCCTGTTTTTGCTCTTAAGATATTGGGGTCTGCTGTACCTAAGTGTTAATGTGCTTGTGTTGAGCTTTGCCTAGGAGTAGGTTAAGTCCTAAAAGGATTGTAGCAATACTTTTGGTTAAATTGCTGCAAAGTAAAAAGTGTTATTGAACCATAGAGAACCTGGTATATTTATGCTATATTACTTTCCAACATCTCCATGAGATTTACTACAATCATGGCATTCACTGGTTGGAGCTTCTGAATATGGTAACTGTCTCAAACACAAGCATCCCTTTAAACTGCTCTGTCTCACTCCAGTGATTTATGTTCCATCACATGTCATTTTCAGATTCTAGGCATGGTCAGATCAAAATCTGGTAAAGAGATGAGGGTCTTGTGCAGGGTTGTTAGGACAGAGGAACATGTACAGGATGGCCAAAACAGAGGGTCTTGCAGTTCAGAAGGTCAGGAAAGAGGGTCTTATGCAGGTGTTCTGGACAGAGGGTCTTGTACCAGATGGCCAGGACAGAGGGTCTTTGACAGGGTGGTCAGGACAGAGGGTCTTTGACAGGGTGGTCAGGACAGATGGTCTTTGACAGGGTGGTCAGGACAGAGGGTGTTGTGCGGGGTTGTCAGGACAGATGGTCTTTGACAGGGTGGTCAGGACAGAGGGTGTTGTGCAGGGTTGTCAGGACAGAGGGTGTCATATAGGATGGTCAAAACAGAGGGTCCCGTACAGGGTGGTTGACATGGGGGGTCTTGTATGGGATGGTCAATACAGGTCATGCACAGGATGGCCAGAACAGAAGGTCTTGTACCAGATCATCAGGACAGAGGATCTCATGCAAGGATGGTCAAAATAGAGGGTCTTGTACAGGGTGATCAGGACAGAGGGTCTTGTACAGGATGGTCAGGACAGAGGGTCTTGTACAGGGTGGTCAGGACACAGGGTCTTGTGCTGGATGGTTGGGATAGATGGTCTTGTACAGGATGGTTGGTACAGGTCTTGTACAAGGTGTTCAGGACAGAAGGTCTTGTACAGGATGGTAATGACAGAGAGCATTGTATGGGGTTGTCAGGACAAAGGGTCTTGTATAGGGTGGTAATGACAGCAGGTCTTGTGCATGGTAGTCAGGACAGAGGGTCCTGTACAGGGTGGCTGGAACAGGAGGTCTTGTATAAGGTGGACAGAACAGGGAGTGTTGTACAGGGTGGTCATGACTGAGGGTCCTGTTCAGAATGGTCAGGGCAGAGGATCTTGTACAGGGTGTTGAGGACAGAGGGTCTTGTGCAGGGTGGTCAGGACAGAGGGCCTTGTACAGGGTGGTCAGGACGACCAGCCTTGTACAGGATGGTTAGGACAGAGGGTCTGGTACAGAATAGTCTGGGCAGAGGGTTTTGTACAGGGTGGTCTTGGCAGAGGGTCTTGTACAGGGTGGTCAGGGCAGAGGGCCTTGTACGGGGTGCTCAGGACAGAGCATCTTAGATGGGGTGGTGTAGGCAGGGGGTCTTGTGCAAGATGGTCCGGGCAGAGGATCATGTTCAGGACATTCAGGACAGAGCCTTGTACAGGGTGGTCAGGAGAGAAGGTCTGGTGCAGGTTAGTCTGGACAGAGGGTCTTGTACTGGGTAGACAGGACAAAGTGTCTTGTACAGGGTGGTCAGGACAGAGGGTCCTTTATGGGATGGTCAGGACAGAGGGTCTTGTGCTGGGTGGTCAGGACAGAGGGTCTTGTGCTGGGTGGTCAGGACAGAGGGTCCTGTATGGGATGGTCAGGACAGAGGGCCTTGCTCAGGGTGGTCAGGACAGAGGGTCCTGTATGGGATGGTCAGGACAGAGGGCCTTGCTCAGGGTGGTCAGGATGGAGGGTCTTGTGCTGGGTGGTCAGGACAGAGGGTCCTTTATGGGATGGTCAGGACAGAGGGCCTTGCTCAGGGTGGTCAGGACAGAGGGTCCTGTATGGGATGGTCAGGACAGAGGGCCTTGCTCAGGGTGGTCAGGGCAGAGGGTCCTGTATGGGATGGTCAGGACAGAGGGCCTTGCTCAGGGTGGTCAGGATGGAGGGTCTTGTGCTGGGTGGTCAGGACAGAGGGTCCTGTATGGGTTGGTCAGGACCAAGGGCCTTGCTCAGGGTGGTCAGGACAGAGGGTCCTGTATGGGATGGTCAGGACAGAGGGCCTTGCTCAGGGTGGTCAGGATGGAGGGTCTTGTGCTGGGTGGTCAGGACAGAGGGTCCTTTATGGGATGGTCAGGACAGAGGGCCTTGCTCAGGGTGGTCAGGACAGAGGGTCCTGTATGGGATGGTCAGGACAGAGGGCCTTGCTCAGGGTGGTCAGGACAGAGGGTCTTGTGCTGGGTGGTCAGGACAGAGGGTCTTGTACTGGGTAGACAGGACAAAGTGTCTTGTACAGGGTGGTCAGGACAGAGGGTCCTGCATGGGATGGTCAGGACAGAGGGCCTTGCTCAGGGTGGTCAGGACAGAGGGTCCTGCATGGGATGATCAGGACAGAGGGCCTTGCTCAGGGTGGTCAGGACAGAGGGTCTTGTGCTGGTTGTTTGGGACAGAGGGTCCTGTATGGGTTGGTCAGGACCAAGGGCCTTGCTCAGGGTGGTCAGGACAGAGGGTCCTGTATGGGATGGTCAGGACAGAGGGCCTTGCTCAGGGTGGTCAGGATGGAGGGTCTTGTGCTGGGTGGTCAGGACAGAGGGTCCTTTATGGGATGGTCAGGACAGAGGGCCTTGCTCAGGGTGGTCAGGACAGAGGGTCCTGTATGGGATGGTCAGGACAGAGGGCCTTGCTCAGGGTGGTCAGGAAGGAGGGTCTTGTGCTGGGTGGTCAGGACAGAGGGTCTTGTACTGGGTAGACAGGACAAAGTGTCTTGTACAGGGTGGTCAGGACAGAGGGTCCTGCATGGGATGGTCAGGACAGAGGGCCTTGCTCAGGGTGGTCAGGACAGAGGGTCCTGCATGGGATGATCAGGACAGAGGGCCTTGCTCAGGGTGGTCAGGACAGAGGGTCTTGTGCTGGTTGTTCGGGTCAGAGGGTCCTGTATGGGTTGGTCAGGACCAAGGGCCTTGCTCAGGGTGGTCAGGGCAGAGGGTCCTGTATGGGATGGTCAGGACAGAGGGCCTTGCTCAGGGTGGTCAGGGCAGAGGGTCCTGTATGGGATGGTCAGGACAGAGTGTCTTGTACAGGGTGGTCAGGATGGAGTGTCCTGTATGGGATAGTCAGGACAGAGGGTCTTGCTCAGGGTGGTCAGGGCAGAGGGTCCTGTATGGGATAGTCAGGACAGAGGGCCTTGCTCAGGGTAGTAAGGACAGAAGGTTTTGTACAAGTTGTTCAGGACAAGTCTTGTAAAGGGTCATCAGGACCAAAGGTCTTGCACTGGAGGTAGTATGTTTAGTATGAGTGGACAAACATCTAACTAGCCCCAGCATTTGGAATGTTTGGACTTCTGCTGTTGCCATTCAGTCTTTCAATGTCAGCCAGTTGACCAAAGTTGAAGGTAATTCCAACTGTGAAAATGAGCATGGTCACTATCCAAGATGTATGAGTGTGTAGGTTTGCCTGTATCGATGTGGATCAAACCCTACACATTGCCTTAAAGTGTAGAAGCAGATATTTTTCTGAATCCTCTGCAAGGGGATCATGTTGAGCTGAGTGTGGATACATTTAGAGGTCTTGGATGCAGCAGCACAACTTTTCATTGTCAGTAAAGACTGGACTGGATCCTTTTATATGTTCTAGGATATGAGGCACTGGTGACATGAATGCTGGTCACCTCAGACCCATGAGGGATGCCACTGCTGCTCCAACTCCAGTCCATTTTGATGTGCATGCCTTTGCAGTGTTTCAGTGTTCCACCAGTTGGATGGCAGCCTGGCAGAGCTGCCAATCAGGGCTCAATGCCTTTTGCTTCTCCCCTTGTTTTAGATCAGCCAGTCAGCATCAAAGTGGGCCAATGTCAACTCAGCATTCAGGTGCCTAGGACTTAGCAAATTAGGGGGGCAGGTCAGATGTCGGGGTTTGGGGTCAAAGGGAACTGGTAAACAGCCAACAGATTGTGCGTATCTGTCAGGGAGTCAGAAATTTGGTAGCATGAATTTATATCTTCCTGCTGCACACCTACTCACTACTGGATGCATTTTAGAATGCTGTGTCTGTATGACCTCCCTCTGCTGTAGTGTGGTTACAAACTACTTGATCTCAATGCACTGAAAGGCCCTGTACCATGGCACATCTGTGTGCAGCTCTCAATGCAATTAGGAGGAGGCAGGGGCAACTCCAGCTCTGCTGGAGTTGATGTAGGCGACATCCGTTGGGCTGCCAATGTTCTGGCACTGAATTTCAATCCTGCATGGCATTTAAGAGTTGTGATAATTCCAGCAAAATGCTTGCTGAGCATTGCTCTGTTTGCCCAGCTCTTCCATGTGCCTTAGATGGCCTGTCTCCTGTGATGAACCTGAACGCCTTCGATGGATGTAACCGAATTCGCAAAATCGTAGTTTGCCGCGTTCTGTTGTTGCCTTCCTTGTAAATCAGGATGAAGTCCCAAAGTTTGTACTCAGAGGGAACCCAATCATAGTTGAGGCAGGGGGTCGGGTGTGCACTTTGTTGTGTGATGGCGAGAGATAGTGGGTCAGAGTGCATCCCTCCCTCATGTGCTTCCAAGCAGCTCACAAATCAGTCACTGAAAGACAGCGTTGGCTCGTGCGCCTGGCGTGTGGCCTTCCATGACGATCCAGTGGACAAAGCGCTAATAATGGCACGTGGAGAGACGAGGAGAGGAGACCACTGGGTCACAGACCCTGCAAAGTAAGGTGGCGGAATCTTGCTACAAAATTTGCAAAGATCATGTTGGCATCGTTTTCCGTTTCAGGCGAGCATGGACAGCGCTATGGGTGACATGCAAATTGGTAAGTATGCATATCGTTTTTTAGAAGCATTTGCCAACCAACCCATCGTGCCGACCCGACCCGAGCCGACCCGGGTTGTGCAGAAGCTGGAGGACGAAATGTTGGTTGTTTGTTGGCCTTCTTATGACATGAGCATTGGCAATATACTGTACCTCAAATTGATGAGCTTTTGATAGCTTAAGTATAAAAACAAAACAAAACTAACGTCAAAATGGCTCAATCTCAGGCCATGAACACCCGTTGATCATTGAGGCCTATACCATTGAGGTCTCCACACGACGATAATGGTTTTGAGTAGTTTCAAGTTACCTATACTCCTTACCTGGAGTAGAATGACTTTTTCCTGCTTGCTATGCTGTGTTACAGGTCTTGCTATGCCGCTGTTGTGTTGCCTTGTCCTCAGTGTTCTTGTCAAGTGTTCGTGTCTTTTGCCCCTGCCCGCTACCTTGCTTTTCTTATGTTAGCACCACGTTATGTTTTGTGTGCAACAGGGGAGATATATACGTCGGAGAAGAGCGGCTCAGATGAGAGCGGAGTGGGGTCGGCTGAGGCCCCGTTCAAAACGGTCCTCAGAGCAATGCACCATGCTGGGAAGGAGCCTTTCCCAACCATCTACGTGGATGCTAAGGAGGATGGAATGGTGAGTGGTTCTGCATTTCAAGTGAACCCATCCTAGCTTTACCGGCCACGATGAAGTTGCTGCTATGAGGTGCGCAATCAGTATGGAGTTATTACAGTTACCTCCTGCTTAAGCGTGACACTTCACATCTGGACATGACCCGGACCCGACCCTCGAGCCCGAGCCCAAACCAGAGCCCGAGCCCGAGCCCGAGCCCGAGCCCGAGCCCGAGCCCGAGCCCGAGCCCGAGCCCGAGCCCGAGCCCGAGCCCGAGCCCGAGCCTCCGACCCCGAGCCCGAGCCCGAGCCCTACCTCGAGCGCGAGCCCGACCCCAATCCCGAACCCGAACCCGACCCCGATCACGATCGCGATCACGATCACGAACCCGATCTCGACCACGGTCCGGTCCGATCCCACCCGAGCCCCGGGTGGGATCGGACCGGACCGGCTATGCAACACCGCATGGTGTGTGGTAACACACCATGCATGGGCAAACTTTTTTCTGTGCGATAACCACGAATCTCTAAATGTTACATCCGGATCGCCATTGAGCACACTTAATCGGAGGCTTACATGGGAGTACCCCGCGATTTCCGTGGCGTGCGAGAGTGAAAGTCGAATCGTTATCCAGCGTGACTGGCTTCAGATCTCCGAACCGAACATGTGGTTTATGTAGCAGTGCGGCACGAAAGAGACCATTCTGCACTGTGGCCGTGCTAAGAAGGCCGGATGCAGAGTTGGCGAATCTATGAGGCGCCTATCATTAATGTGGCGTGTTCGGGGTGCATACCGCAAACTCTGTTTGGCGAGTATTCTAGGGCTCAGAGGCATCCATGGAAATCATTAGGATTTGCCTTCATAAGAAAATGAGATAAGCGCACCAAACTGGTTAAGGATATGATTCCAGTACACGTTTCAGACCATCTTACCACCAGCAGTATCCAGACAGTGAAGCAGCAATGTTTGCTTTACCGGCTAGTTGGACACATTTATGTCCGAACTCGATTGTAGCACGGCGCTGTCGGAATTGTGTTTCAAGTGATACTAGGATCTACAGAAAGCTATGCGTTTTGTGGCTGAAGATCTAGGCATTTTGGTACATGGTGGAAGGTTTGCGTCAATCTCATGCTTGTATTGGATAGCTTGAAGCCATGAGTGGCGCTGTAACGTTGGTCGGTATGCACTTTTTTCGACACATAACTTCATCTGCCTCTTTTGTAGCAAAGCGCTTGAAAACTTGGAATAGCGACGGAAGGCAGTAAGGCTGCTGTGGCCCAGTAGTCGTACACATTTTTGTTTCATCACTTGCTTGTTATGTTAAGAAAGTTTAGCTCGCAGGTTTCTGGCATGTTTTCGATATCGGAAACCGGCAACCCTTTCACTTCCGCGATATGTGCAAGGGTGATATTTAATTGCCGGTGCATTCCTGTTAGCTTTAAGTCGTGTCTTGTTACGCAACTACTGGATTTTTCAACTGGCGACATGTCCGCCGGCGAGTCGTCTTACAGTACGGTCATGGGGTGGGAAAAATGACTACTGATGCTTAATTTGCAAAACGACGGCTGTCATTTTCCACAGTCAGGTTACCTGCCGGATTGTATGAGATGTTTAGGCCAGGTATTTATGGATTGTTTCAGTGCCCCCCCCCCCCCCCCCCTCCCACACGTTGTGTGAAGGGTGATGCGAGCAGTACCAGCCTGTTAACAGTACGCTGGGCCGTGCCGCCTCCGGTCTTTGGCCAGTTAATCCCTGGCCGGGCTGGCGTGGTCCGGGCCAGATGCGGCGCCACCCTGGCAGCGCTCCAGACTCTCTGTTCCGCCGGTGCCCGTCTCGCTCGCTCTACAGCTCCGCTGCCCGTTCCCAGACCCAGTCCGTGACTAGATGGATTCATCTGAATAAGCTCCCCCACCCCCTCCCCCTCTCCTCCCCCGCCGCCGCCGGGAAGGCTCGTGCAGCTCGTAGCGGGCAGTCGGCTCCAGCCGGCCGGGTCGTGGTTACAGTGATCACCAACTGTAAGCTGACGTGCAGGGCCGGGGAGATGTTGGCCGGGGACGCTGGGCGAGAGAGTCGTGTCTGGCTGTCCTGGCCGTGGTGACAGTGATCACCAGCTGTAAGCTGACATGCAGGGCCGGGGAGATGTTGGCCGGGGACGCTGGGCGAGAGGGTCGTGTCTGGCTGTCCTGGCCGTGGTGACAGTGATCACCAGCTGTAAGCTGACATGCAGGGCCGGGGAGATGTTGGCCGAGGACGCTGGGCGAGAGAGTCGTGTCTGGCTGTCCGCTGACGGCGTCGCCCGTCTGTCGCCAGACCTCCGGCGGCTCCTCCCTCCCGGATACGCTGGACCCTCACCTCGCCCAATACGCGTATGTCGGCGGGTACGAGCCCAGTCAGCTGGACGTGCGCGTCCACCGCCATCTAGCGGCCGAGCCGCAAGCTTACGTTCATGCGGCGCGGTGGTGGCGCCACGTGCGGAGTCTGACTGCGGACGCCGGCGGCTGGCCGGAGGGCGACGCCGCCGTTCTGACCAGACTGGGCGTCGATCAGCTGCTGGGAAAGGTGGGCCCGTCGACTGGGCCCCGCCTCGCTTCTGTGGTTACCCCGCCCGCGGCCTGCGCTGCCACGTGCCTGCATGGCCGTCGCAGTCGTACGCTGTAGTCCGCAGGATAACGCATGCTTTGGAGTGCGTCATGGTGTCATAACATCTGACAACATAATTGTGGCAGGAGGGAAATAATCCATTAAAGTGATTACTGACAGGGAGAATAACTCGGGTTATCAAACGCAAGACATAGCAGTAAACATGGCTTTTGTTGAGAAGGTCGTGTTGTTTGAGACCTTGCCCCCAAAAACATTTGCAGACTTCACAAATTATGCTCCATATAACTACGCCCGACTTTGGAAAACAAAATATTGAAGTCTCCCACAATGGTTGATTGGATACGTAGCTCGTTAGCGCGCCATTGATAGTCTGGAGGGCATGGTCGTATATGTGTTTTTTGTATGGTTTGACATTTGTGTTGTCATTTCTTAGGAGAAATTTTGTTCGGTTCTGTTAAGGATCACGTCATATGGTGGTTACAGAATATGCTTGGTCAAGCTTTCTTTTTGCACGTTTCCAGTCATATTTTGCCGTGTTGCGTAGAAGCTTGTGCACCCTTTCCTGCAACGTTGTGGCTTAATGACACCAACGGCATGGTATGACATGAAACATAGTCGTTTTCCACTAGTCACCTTCCAGAACGTAAATCATCGTGTGGTTATTATTCATGCAGGTGTGTTAATCATTGCGCGACGTAGTACCGTTGCTGCTTTTCTGGTCGTACGATAGTCGACGATAAAGTCTTCCAGTCATGCACCAGCGTTCATATTAAAGTCATGTTCACAGGACAGTTGGGATGCACGCAAGTCATACTTTTCAGCGTTTAGTATTCCTCCAGTGGGCGCGAGAATGACGACGCCACCGATCCCAGCAGTTACATTTGTCGATGCATGACCGACGACAACGGCTGGCTCTCAGTTGTGGATGCCCGCGGCAGCGCCTTAGGATGAAACGCGCTCAGCGCTCCGGTAATAGTGCATCCCTTGATAAAATCCTTGCGCCGTATCTCGCCACGTTGGCTGCATTCTGAGATGGTCGCCTGTCGTGTCCTGCAGAAGTTCGAGCCGGCGGCCAAGTCGCAGCTGAAGAAGGTGCAGAAGATATGGACGCGCGAACAGCACAAGGCCGCCGAGCGCGCCAAAAAGGAGGCCGAAGACGCCGAGAAGCGCGCGAAGAACCTGGAGGAGGCGCGCAAGGTGACGATCGCCGAGGAGCCCAGCTGGCCGGCGGCCGTCCGAATCAAGATCAACGAGGGCGCCGAGAGCCGGGATCGGCGCGTCAAAGTCTACGGCTGGGTGCACCGGCTCCGTAGGCAGGGTCAGTGACGGCGTGACGAAGGTGTGCGGCTTACGGACCTGGAACACGGACGCGATGCAGAACAATGCTCACCGACATTCTGGCTGGGAGAAAGAGCGAAGCTCTTCATCCCCCGTGTTTTGAATCCAGTGGAGAACAGTTGAAACCACTGACCATCAATACATCTAAGCAATGGCCTCCCTGGCAGGACCATGCCCGTCCTCAGGTCCGTTCGCAGCTGTGACGCGCCGCTGGTGTGGTGGGCTGTGACTGTGCGCTGTGACCGACCCTGACATCCCGCCTCTCACCAGCCGGTAGCCGGCGCCCGCCGCGGCTGGGCCGGCCCGCCACACCCCCGCGAGCGGCGGCGAGCGGCGGCCGCTGACCGAGCCGCCGCCGCTGCTGACAGGCAAGGCCATGATGTTCGTGGTGCTGCGGGACGGCACCGGCTTCCTGCAGTGTGTGCTGACGGACCGGCTGTGCCAGACGTACGAGGCGCTGGTGCTCTCCACCGAGTCCTCCGTCTGCCTCTACGGCACCATCAAGGCGCTGCCCGACGGCAAAACGGTGCGCAGGCGCGGATGTGATGCCGGGCGCGTGGGGGTAGGACGGGGTACTTCGCCATCAGGCTGTCCTGTCACCAACAGATACTCTGCACTCGGAGGGCATACACTTAACGTGACCGACATTTCTCTGTGTGAGATAATGAGATGTCACTCGTAACCGGTTTCTGAGTATAGATCGTCAAACTGTCCCACCGCCCTGTCTGTAGAGACGTCAGGGGGTGTCTAGCGCAATCAGCCTTTATGCGGTGTGTATGTGCCCGTGCCGCTGTGCGACTGACCTCGCTCGGCCTGCTGGGTTGACGGGCTGACGCTCTGTTGAGTTGTGCGGCCGGCTGCTCGGTTTCTGCCGGCATACCCGTCGCCGATGGCCGGGTGATTAACCCCTGACCCGGTGATTGATCTCTGACCCGGTGATTGACTCCTAACCCGGTGATTGAACCCTGACCCGCTGATTGACCCCTGACTCGGTGGTTGGCCTCTGACCCGGTCACTGACCTCTGACCCGGTGCCGCCGTCCGACGACAGGCGCCGGGCGGGCACGAGATGCAGGTGGACTTCTGGGAGCTGGTGGGCCTGGCGCCGGCCGGCGGCGCCGACACCATCCTCAACGAGGAGGCCAACCCGGACGTGCAGCTGGACAACCGGCACATCATGATCCGCGGCGAGAACGTGAGCGCCTCCACCCAGAGGCCTGCCTGGTCCACTGAGCACCGCGCCGGCGCGGCGGCCGGCGGTCCGCCAGGGTGGGGGAACAGACAGGGCAGGGGCAGCGGATGGTACGCACGAGCTGGCTCTATTGGTCAGGAGCCCCGGCACGTTGACGAGCATTTGGTCCGGTTTTGACCGGGCTGTGAGCTCGGGGCATTCTCGTTCAGTTCATACCCTGCTGGTGGTGGTGGCGGTCGGTGCTGCTGTTGTCCGTTTGTGCCGGCCGATGGACAAACAAAGGAGACAGTGGTGCGCACGCGCCAGGCATCGTGCGTCCGGGCATGCGGCTCACTCTGCGCCCCGTCGTGTCGCCCTTGGCGTCACGACGGTGCAGGGGACATGTGCAGTACCTCGTCAGTGGGCGTCCGTGTGCAGGGGACATGTGCGGCACCTCGTCAGTGGTCGTCCGTGTGCAGGGGACATGTGCGGTACCTCGTCAGTGGTCGTCCGTGTACAAGAGACATGTGCGATACCTCGTCAGTGGTCGTCCGTGTGCAAGAGACATGTGCGGTACCTCGTCAGTGGTCGTCCGTGTGCAGGAGACATGTGCGATACCTCGTCAGTGGTCGTCCGTGTGCAGGGGACATGTGCGGTATCTCGTCAGTGGTCGGCATCCTCACAGCCGGGGCCAGTCAGCATGTGTGCAGATCTTCCGGTTGTGCCCTCACTCCACCCCGGCGGTGGTGTTGCAGACGTCCAAGGTGCTCAAGATGCGGTCGGTGTTGACGCAGGCCTTCCGTGAGCACTACTTCAGCCGCGGTTACTTCGAGGTCACGCCACCGACGCTGGTGCAGACCCAGGTACGGTCGGGAGGCGGGGCCAGCGCGGGTCCGGGCTGGACCGGCACCGGCCGGGGGTCAGCCGCTCCCCGCAGCAGGTTCACTCACCAACGGCGCTCCAGCCGGCTGTAGACGGACCACGACTGGACGTGGCAACCAGAAACCCATCGGGTGTCGTGACGATGGTTTGATTCATAGTCGACTTGACCTTGATCTTGATCATGCATCAATATTCAATGATCTTACATGCTTGTTAATGAGACACTACCGTTCTGGCTTATTTTTTCTGGTCTATTCGACCATTTCCGCGCGCACCTCAACGGTTTTCGCTCCCTGTCATGGTCCCGCCCTGCTGTCGACTTCACTGCTGCCGGTGATCAGGCGCACGGGTCGCGACAGACGCGCACACGAGTCTGCACCCCCAGGTGGAAGGCGGCTCGACACTGTTCAAGTTCGACTACTTTGGCGAGGAGGCGTACCTGACGCAGAGCAGCCAGCTCTACCTGGAGACGGCCATCCCGGCGCTGGGGGACGTGTTCTGCGTCGCCCAGAGCTACCGGGCCGAGCAGAGCCGAACACGACGCCACCTGGCCGAGTGAGTACACACGGGTCAGCTGACTACCGGGCCGAGCAGAGCCGAATACGACGCCACCTGGCCGAGTAAGTACACACGGGTCAGCTGACTACCGGGCCGAGCAGAGCCGAACACGACGCCACCTGGCCGAGTGAGTACGCACGGGTCAGCTGACTACCGGGCCGAGCAGAGCCGAATACGACGCCACCTGGCCGAGTAAGTACACACGGGTCAGCTGACTACCGGGCCGAGCAGAGCCGAACACGACGCCACCTGGCCGAGTGAGTACACACGGGTCAGCTGACTACCGGGCCGAGCAGAGCCGAACACGACGCCACCTGGCCGAGTAAGTACACACGGGTCAGCTGGCTACCGGGCCGAGCAGAGCCGAACACGACGCCACCTGGCCGAGTAAGTACACACGGGTCAGCTGACTACCGGACTGAGCAGAGCCGAACACGACGCCACCTGGCCGAGTGAGTACACACGGGTCAGCTGACTACCGGGCCGAGCAGAGCCGAACACGACGCCACCTGGCCGAGTAAGTACACACGGGTCAGCTGACTACCGGACTGAGCAGAGCCCAGGTGACTACCGGACCGAGCAGAGCCCAGTTGACTACCGGACCGAGCAGAGCCCAGTTGACTACCGGACCGAGCAGAGCCCAGGTGACTACCGGACCGAGCAGAGCCCAGTTGACTACCGGACCGAGCAGAGCCCAGGTGACTACCGGACCGAGCAGAGCCCAGGTGGCTACCGGACCGAGCAGAGCCCAGGTGACTGCTGGACCGAGCAGAGCCCAGGTGACTGCTGGACCGAGCAGAGCCCAGGTGACTGCTGGACCGAGCAGAGCCCAGGTGACTGCTGGACCGAGCAGAGCCCAGGTGACTGCTGGACCGAGCAGAGCCCAGGTGACTGCTGGACCGAGCAGAGCCCAGTTGGCTACCGGACCGAGCAGAGCCCAGTTGGCTACCGGAGCGAGCAGAGCCCAGGTGGCTACCGGACCGAGCAGAGCCCAGGTGACTGCTGGACCGAGCAGAGCCCAGTTGGCTACCGGACCGAGCAGAGCCCAGTTGGCTACCGGACCGAGCAGAGCCCAGGTGACTACCGGACCGAGCAGAGCCCAGGTGACTACCGGACCGAGCAGAGCCCAGGTGACTACCGGACCGAGCAGAGCCCAGGTGACTACCGGACCGAGCAGAGCCCAGGTGACTACCGGACCGAGCAGAGCCCAGTTGACTACCGGACCGAGCAGAGCCCAGGTGACTACCGGACCGAGCAGAGCCCAGGTGACTACCGACCGAGCAGAGCCCAGGTGGACTGCTGGACCGAGCAGAGCCCAGTTGACTACCGGACCGAGCAGAGCCCAGTTGACTACCGGACCGAGCAGAGCCCAGGTGACTACCGGACCGAGCAGAGCCCAGGTGACTACCGGACCGAGCAGAGCCCAGTTGGCTACCGGACCGAGCAGAGCCCAGGTGGCTACCGGACCGAGCAGAGCCCAGGTGACTACCGGACCGAGCAGAGCCCAGGTGGCTACCGGACCGAGCAGAGCCCAGTTGGCTACCGGACCGAGCAGAGCCCAGTTGACTACCGGACCGAGCAGAGCCCAGGTGACTACCGGACCGAGCAGAGCCCAGTTGGCTACCGGAGCGAGCAGGGCCCAGGGCACCGAGCTGAACAGAACCAAGAGCGGCCGGGTCCGAGGAGACGCGGGCGCGGCGACACGTGGGCGGACCTGACCAGCGCAGGGGTCGCCCCGGCCAGCTCAGGATACATGATCTGTATGCACGCGTGGGCAGTGGGCGGCGCCGCCACCAGCGGCTGTGCTGCACTGGCCAGAGCTGCGTGCCGCGGGGCCGTGCACCTCTGGACCAGCCGTCCTGTTGGTTTGTCTGCTGCAGTAGGAGCACCTGTGCCGATGTCTCACCGGCGTGAGTCAGACACTGTGTCAGCGGCCGCAGACGCGGATCCAGTGGACCAATCTGGGGGTCAGTCTTGGGCAGCTTGTGGTCGGCCAGCATCGGCCAGCATCGGCCAAACGCATGATTTCACAATGGCCCGTTTGTAAACATTTGTCAATGCTTGGTGAGCTGATCGTCATGCTACGGTCCGGGCTTACTCAAAACAATCAGGCTGGCCGCTTCGCCGTTTGAGACGCCAAGTGTATCTCAGTCTTCTCGACCTATCACACCCCCCCCCCCCCCCCATCCGCCCCGCCCCGTGCTCCTGTCGCGCACATACATACGGATGACGAATGTTGAACAGCTTGGGTGCATTGGCCAGTCTGTGAACGGTGGTCCTCCGCTGTTTCCCAGGTACACTCACATTGAGGGCGAGTGTCCGTTCATCACATTCAGTGACCTGCTGGACCGTCTGGAGGACCTCATCTGCGATGTGGTGGACCGCGTGCTCAAGTCACCATTCAAAGACATCGTTTACGAGCTGAACCCGGTGAGAGAGCTGAACCCCACCTGAACTGCTCAGCCTGAACCCCACCCGAACGCAGCCTGAACCCCACCTGGATTCAACCTGAACCCCACCTGAACTGTTAGCCTAAACCCGACTTGAATGCAGCCTGAACCCCACCTGAACTGCTCAGCCCGAACCCCATCCGGACTGCTCAGTCAGAACCCGACCTGAACGCAGCCTGAACCACACCCGAATTCAGCCTGAATTCCACCTGAACTGCTCAGCCTAAACCCGACCTGAACTGCTCAGCCCGAACCCGACCTGAACGCAGCCTGAACACCACCTGAACGCAACCTGAACCCCATCTGAACGCAGCCTGAACCCCACCTGAATTCAGTCTGAACCCCATATGAACGCATCCTGAACTCAGCCTGAACCCCACCTGAACTGCTGAGGAGCGTTGGCACCCGGCGCGGAGGCGTTGGGTGCTGCCGCACAGTCCCAGTTTAGAGTGTAGCGACTGTTTACGTCGGCTGATGTGGCCTTGTGCTGGGTGCTACAAATCGCAGTTTCTGACACGTCAGATCTGTGCTGTTGCAGGGCTTTCAGCCGCCGAAGAGGCCGTTCCGGCGGATGGACTACGCCGACGCCATCGTCTTCCTCAAGGAAAACAACATCACCAAGGAGGACGGCAGCTTCTACGAGTTCGGCGAGGACATTCCCGAAATGCCGGAGCGGAAGATGACGGACATGATCAACGAGCCCATCATGCTCTGCCGCTTCCCCTACCAGATCAAGTCGTTCTACATGTCCAAGTGTGCGGACGACCCGCGGCTCACTGAATCGGTACGGTCACCGACTGGCTGCAGACGGCCGGCGTGTCCGGGGCGGGCCGGCGGCGCCACCTGACTCCGGCACAGTCGCCGATGCCCGCTAGTGCTCCGGCACAGTCGGCTGATGCCCGCTGGTGCTCCGGCACAATCAGCTGATGCCCGCCGGCGCTCCGGCACAGTCAGCTGACGCCCGCTGGTGCTCCGGCACGGTCGGCTGATGCCCGCCGACGCTCCGGCACAGTCAGCTGATGCCTGCTGGTGCTCCGGCACAGTCAGCTGATGCCCGCTGCGCTCCGGCACAGTCGGCTGACGCCCGCTTGTGCTCCGGCACAGTCAGCTGATGCCCGCTGGCGCTCCGACACACCGGTCCAGCCCACAGCTGTTCTGTCCGGCCGGCGACTTTTGGTTTTCTGCGTTTAAAGAATGTCTGTGTGGTTTGTTTACTTCAATCGAGATCGAAGTCTTTGGCAGAATTAAGACGCTCAGAGACGTGGAGCTCGGGTCTAGACCCTTGCGTCTGATGCGTGCCTAATGTGCGATTATGTTCACGGAAATGCTCCACATCTCCGAAGTCGCTCTTACCCAGACCCACATCTCTTGTGTCCAGGTGGATGTACTCATGCCCAACGTGGGGGAGATTGTGGGTGGCTCGATGCGCATGCACGACCTGGCGGAGCTGGAGGCCGCCTTCAAAGAGCAAAAGATCCCTTCGGAACCATACTACTGGTACAAAGATCAGGTGAGCTTTATTTCCACGAAATCCTTTGTTTTTGCGAGCACGAAACGCATCATTTCTATTGTTGGGCGAGGTGCAGCTATTGGATGCATGTTTCCTGAGGGTCCGCTTTTGCACACATTTTGCCTACTGTGCGATAGTACCTGCAGCGATGAACCGAGACCCCGCTTACGCGCATCAAAGAGGCGCCCATCTCAAGTGCCCACGGATCTCCAAAGTTGAGCCTTCTGCACGCCGGCTGTGGCGCGTGGCCGCTGCTCAGATCCCATCGGTTCGGCGGTCTCGGTCCCGCGTGCCAGACCCTACAGCTGACGCCCGTACCTCGGCACCCCGGGAGGCGCGGCGCTGACCCGGCGTCCGTGTGCTCGGTTACAGAGGGTGTACGGTACCACGCCGCACGGCGGCTACGGCCTGGGCCTGGAGCGGCTGCTCTGCTGGCTGCTGAACCGGCACCACATCCGCGAAGTGTGTCTCTACCCGCGATTCACCGGCCGCTGTCGGCCCTGACCGCGACACCCAAACGCGCACCGCGCGGCGCCGCTCCCCCGCGCCGCCAGCAGACCAAAGTCTTATTTATGCGCCCACCTGCCCGCCCGCCGGCCCACCGGCACCCTATTCTCCCGTGCGACCGGACAAATACATCTGGATGTGAGCGGCGCGGTGGTGTTTGTTGGCGGAGCTGGAGACGGCTGGCGCAGCTGGCCCAGGCGCCGGGAGTTCCCACCGCATTCTAACAGCGAGCCATCGTGTCTACTCGACGCCAGCATTGCCGCTGGTGTGCAGAATCGTTTTCGGTTTGTTCTCGTTTTCGGTGTGCCGGCTCGTTTTCGGTTTGCACGCTCGCATTACTTCGTATCGTGTGCGAAATGACGTTGCTTGGGTAGCCGGCGTTCGACCAGCGGTTGCTGGGTCGTTCTTGCGGTGTGGTGCGTTCGACTCGAGCCTACCGTCTCCCACCTGACCCTGCGCAGACGCCCGGCGCACCACGACGCTCGCCGTCCTCTGCCCGGCGGTCGGGTTCATGCGTAGCCGGGACGACGGGCCGGCCCACCCTGCCGCCCGGCCCGCCGCTGGCTGGGTCAGTAGTACGGCAGGTAGCCGTTGTCGCGCGTCGAGCCGGTGAGCGTGGCGTCCGACTCGTCCTCGCCGCTGGACTCTGCTGGACTGTCGGCGCTGGCGGGGCCGGAGCTGCGGCGGCGGCTGCGCGCGCCGGCCGAGCGCGCGCGGTCGGAGAGCGCCGAGCCGGGCCGGTCGTGCCACTCCTGCGACTGCGCCACGTCCGCCAGCGTGATGTCGGACGGCGAGACGGAGCGCGTCGGCTCGGGGGAGGAGGAGCGGGGCCGCTCGGGCGAGCCGGGCCCGCCCGACGCTGCCGGCCGCACGTCCACCGACGAGTGTGAGGCCGGCTGGCGCGGCTCCAGCTCGGCCACCTGACTCGTCGTCTCGACTGAACGCGACTCGGTGAGGCTGGCCGCCTCCTCGGCCGCCTCGTCCGCCTCCTGGTGTGCGTGCCAGCCAGTGACGGCGCGGCGCACCTGGCTGAAGCGCTCGTGCGCCTCCTCGCCGGCGTCCACGACTGTGATGTTGCTGCGCGACTCCTCGGCGATGGTGTCCAGCATCTGACGCCGCTGGGCGTCGCGCTGATCGGCCAGGTCACCTGGGCCGGGCGTCAGCGAGGGTACGCATCATCATCGCCTGGCCCGCCTGGCTGTCCACCAGCACGAAGCGCGCTCTGGTCGGAGCCGGGCGCCAGCACCAAGTAGCCGGCCACTGGCAGCGCCTCGTACCCCGCCGGCAGCTGGTCGACCGGTCGCGGCGGCGGCGGCTCTGGTGCCAGCGCCGACGGCGAGCTGCTGGTCGAGGCGGCGCCGACCGGTTCGGCGCGCGCTGGCGCCACGCCGGCGTCGGCGGCGGTGCGCGGCACGGGGATGTGACGCCGCAGCGCCGCCAAGGAGTCGTATTCGAACGGCGTCGGATGACACACCACCTCCTGAGAATCTGCTGTCGGACCGAGTGGACGGCACAGCTGGTCAGAAGGTGTCTTGGACTGCATTAGATTATTATCTAGACCACCCGGCCTGAGAAATATCTGTTTTGAAATCCAAAACTTCCATTGTTCGATGCATGGTTACGTATAGCACTTAGACTGGCTTGCCCTGTACATTGCGAGCTGTTGGTTCTCATCTGTTGATGTGAATGCCCCAAAGCGATTCTCTAGAAGGCACTGCGTGCATTCAAACCCTGTCCATAACAAAGCGTCCGGTGCCACGTGCTAGCAGGATACGTCTCCAAGCGGCATATTTATGCGTACAGCATTGTGCGTGTCCGCTCGGTGTGTGCGCGGGCCGCGACCCGCTCCGGCGCACCTGGAGGGCCGGTGGTGGTGCGGGACAGCGCCCACCGTCAGCGGCAGAATCGGCGTACCTGGACGGCCGGTGGTGGTGCGGGACGGCGGCCACCCTCAGCGGGCGGGACCGGCGTACCTGGACGGCCGGGGGTGTTGCTGGATGTTTGCCACACTCAGCAGCAGGCTGGGCGTACCTGGACGGCCGTTGGTGGTGCGGGACGGCGGCCACCCTCAGTGGAAGAGTCGGCGTACCTGGACGGCCGGGGGTGGTGTGGGACGGCGGCCACCTTCAGCGGAAGAGTCGGCGTACCTGGACGGCCGGGGGTGGTGCGGGACGACGGCCACCCTCAGCGGGCGGGACCGGCGTACCTGGACGGCCGTTGGTGGTGCGGACGGCGGCCACCCTCAGGGCGGGACCGGCGTACCTGGACGGCCGTTGGTGGTGCGGGACGGCGGCCACCCTCAGCGGGCGGGACCGGCGTACCTGGACGGCCGTTGGTGGTGCGGGACGGCGGCCACCCTCAGCGGGCGGGACCGGCGTACCTGGACGGCCGTTGGTGGTGCGGGACGGCGGCCACCCTCAGCGGTCGGGACTGGCGTACCTGGACGGCCGTTGGTGGTGCGGGACGGCGGCCACCCTCAGCGGTCGGGACTGGCGTACCTGGACGGCCGTTGGTGGTGCGGGACGGGGCCACCCTCAGCGGGCGGGAACCGGCGTACCTGGACGGCCGTTGGTGGTGGGGACGGCGGCCACCCTCAGCAGGCGGGACCGGCGTACCTGGACGGCCGTTGGTGGTGCGGGACGGCGGCCACCCTCAGCGGTCGGGACTGGCGTACCTGGACGGCCGTTGGTGGTGCGGGACGGCGGCCACCCTCAGCGGGCGGGACTGGCGTACCTGGACGGCCGTTGGTGGTGCGGGACGGCGGCCACCCTCAGCGGGCGGGACTGGCGTACCTGGACGGCCGTTGGTGGTGCGGGACGGTGGCCACCCTCAGAGGTGGGATCTCCAGGTTGGAGAGCGTCTGCGCCGTGGACTGGGCGGTGCTGCTCACCATGCCCTGGCGCAGCTGCTGCGTCTTGCCCGGCCTGAACCGGATCTGCTGCCGGTAGCTGGACACGGGGACGGGGCCGTCAGTGACTTATTCGCGGCCCAGACACGTGCGGTTACCGCTTCCGAAATGGCATAAATATGCAGTGTCTAGAGGTGCGCCCTGCCGCGACAACCGGGCACCGCGCGGTGGTAAACAAAGCTCTCGCGCGCTAAGTGCCCTGAGACAAACGCCTAAATAGAGCGTAATGGGGAGATCCTCATCGAATCGCATCGAAAGGTAGTTCAGCTTCGGGCTGCAAATACATTAGGAGTTACATGATGGAAATACGTCGGTGTGCCATCGCGTGCACCAGCGTCTGGTAAGTACGGACACGAGCCGGGGAAAATACGCTCGCGTTTCTCAGCGGGCAAGCTAACTTGAATTGTGATAGATTCACCGGTCGCACAAGATTTGTTAAGCCGTGGAAAATGCTACGTTATAAAATATTTTGCAATAGGGCTGCCGTCAGTCCCTTGCCCTCAGTCCTTGGAAAATCATCTGTGTAAATAGGCATCCGCAGCCATACTTTAATATCATGTATGCGATCATGCCGAATTGGCACCAATAGTGCATCTAGGACACGAATGCCAGAATGCTTCCACTTTGAAGTGAGGTGGATAGGCGAAACGAGCTCTGCGTTCTCTACGTTTAGTCGCGCGTTGGACGATACAAAGACTGAGGTGCAAGTTTTCGGATCGGATCAAACCGTCAGAACATACGGACTCACCTGGGCGGCATGTCCTCAATGCTAATGTAGCCAAGATGGGTCCAAATTCCAAGCCGGCCATCTCGCGGCGTGAATCCGCGCGAGGGTGGGCGACTCTTCGCCTCCTTCCTCAGGAGTGCCTGTGCTGCAACGGCCGTCCATCCCGTCACCGCCCGAACCACACCACACCCCGAGCTGCTCGGCTATTGCTTTGGACGCTGACAGCAGACCCAGCAGCGTAAAGAAAGCGGGCAGGTGAGGGGTGGGGGGGTCGGAACGGGTCATCGGTGTTCAGCCAGCCTTACGAGGATGCTTCTGTTACCGATGAAGCGGTGGCGACGGGGGAGTGAGCAAAAGGACGGCGCTGTGTCAACGGCGTGCTAGCGAACAGCGAGCTGGTGTTCATCGGCGGAGGACGTTCGGCGGGACAGCGGTGTCAGAGGGCGTGCTAGCGAACAGCGAGCTGGTGTCTCATCGGCCGGAGGACGTTCGGCGGGAGACAGCGCTGTGCCAGCGGGCGCGCCAGAGGACGGGGGTGCTGGTGTCTCTCGGACGGAGGACGCTTCGTGTGGGAAGCGCTGTGCCAGGGGCGGCCAGAGGACGGCGGGCTGGTGTCTCATCGGCCGGAGGACGCTCGGTGGGACAGCGCTGTGAGCGGGCGCGCTAGAGAACAGCGGGCTGGTGTCTCATCGGCATGAGAACGCTCGGCGGGACAGCGCTGTGTCAGCGGGCGCGCCAGAGGACAGCGGGCTGGTGTCTCATCGGCCTGAGGACGCTCGGCGGGACCGCGCGGCCAGTGGCAGAGGCGGCAGCAGACCAGCCGGCTGCCGCGCCGCCGTCGCCACTTACCTTGCTTTCGCCGTCGCAGCGCCGCGGGCATGGCGAACACCAGCGCCGCCGCCACCAGCACGCAGGCGCCGCACACCGCGAACGCCAGGTCGTAGGAGCCCAGTGAGCCGCGCAGCAGGCCTGGGCGGCAGGTCGTGCGGGGTCAGGTCCAGCTGGCGCCCCTGGAC